GAAAGAACTGAAGGCCACAGGGTCCTGTGGACTCGGGGGTGAATGGATTTTCAAAAATAGAAGACACGCCTCCTGGCACTTGTGATGTGTTTGTGGTTATTTATGTTGACAACTTATTGTCAGAAATAGCTGTCATAGGCCACCTTCTTGAAAACATCATTGTATTATTATGGCATAAATCATATTTTCTAGAATATATTAATTTCTTGGGCTGGTTTCTGTGCTTAGAATTCAATGACTGCACTTATCGTGGCTGTAAAAGGAGGCTACACACAGTCAGTAAAAGAAATCTTGAAGAGGAATCCAAATGTGAACTTGACAGACAAGGATGGCAACACAGCGCTGATGATTGCGTCCAAGGAGGGGCACACGGAGATCGTGCAGGATCTGCTGGATGCCGGCACCTACGTGAACATCCCCGACAGGGTAGGTGCCTGTTGGTCTTGTAGTGACGTTGATGGGAGACGACCTCAATGTCCCACCACCTCCCTAGGTTCTTCCTGCACGAGGGCCTTCTCTCAGGGTTGTTAGTTCCTCAAAGTCCTCCCTTCAGGGAGAGGCCTCTGTGCCGCGGGATTTTCAGGAAAAACGGTTGCATTATACGTACTGACCTGCTGCAGAGCGTGCCCGTCTGCCGCTCACTCCCCTGTGGTCTGTCTGTGCAGAGTGGGGACACCGTGCTGATCGGCGCCGTCAGAGGCGGCCACGTGGAAATCGTCCGCGCGCTGCTCCAGAAGTACGCGGACATCGACATTCGAGGGCAGGTACGTGTGGCTGCGGGTGGTGGGCTCGGAGTGTGATGGGCTGTCAGGTTGGCTGATCACAGTGCCATCTGCCAGCTGGAAGCCCGGATATACTTCACAATGCCTCTCACATCCACGGCGTTGTTAGGGAATTCCTGTGTGGATGCCAGGTTAGCTTTAGAGAGAAGTGAGTTAAAATAGCTCGGGGTTTGAGTGCACCCCTGTACTGATGTAGATGCACTCAGTCCTGCACTGAGCAGCCGAGAGCACTGAGACTGGGCGCCGCTGAAGTGTGTTATGCAGATGGAGTGTCTTTACTTCCTTTATGTTTCCCTCTGTCTGTCTGCTTCGCCCCTTCCCGCCGCTGCATCACCCCTCCTTCCCCCGTCCGCCTGCCTCTCCTGGGCACTGGTGGTGCCTGTGGGCTTTGCCAAGGCAGCCTTTGCCCAAAGGTTATTAATTTAGGTAAAACATCCCTAAATTTGTGGGTTTATCCAGTATTTCAGAGCTTTAGCTCATTTTGTTG